ACACACACACACACACACATACATACATACATACACACATACCCACACATGCGTGTACTTTTATTTTTTCATCAACAATAATAGAAAAAGCCCCCAGCACTACGCCCGTGATTGCCAGACAGTGAAAAGCTGTGAGGTTTGAACCAGAAACTGTAGTAATGGGTCCCCAGGGGCAGGACAAGGCCACCGCTACTGCCTGGGCAAGTGGCCACGGTGTAGGTGAAGGGGTAAGGTTTCACATCAGACAGACTGTCAGGGTCACTGTTCCCCAAACTGATGTACTTCATCCGGCCGTGTGGGTGTGAGATGACGACAGCTGTGGCCGGGGACACGCTACGGGGAGACACATCGAGACGCCTCTTCTTTCCTCTCGGAGACCGCACCACCACCCGAGTCTCCTCGAACCACCGAAAGAGCATCTCACTTCGCCTATTACAGAGGTTCTTCAGTCTGTGGGCCAATTTCCGGTTGTGGGTGTACCACGCCAGTTCACAGCCGTCCTCCTCCGTGTCGCCACCCTCCACAGCCCCACCCCCAGTCAGCGTCACACTGCCACTGCCATCTGACTGGTCGTCGAAGAAGACAACCTCACATGCTCTAGCCTCGTTGTCGCCATAAACCACGTGACGAGCTGTGACAACGAGAATTTTCCAGTACTTGTTTTCCTCCGCCGTCCCCTTCGGACAGTTGTCACACTTACACGGTCCCTCAAGTCCATCATGTTGACCGTATACCTTCACCACAAAGCCGCTGCCGGCGATGTTGAGTCTCCAACCTTTTCTATCAGCGAAGGGGTACCCTCTGCCGTCTGCCCAGGTGTCTGGCCGCTGGTCACTTATGAGAGGCACTCTGATCCTGACCACTGTCTCTGCAAAACACTTCACAGCACCCGCTATTTCGTCCGCAGTCTGATGTCCTTCATCCGGTGTCCAGGATCTCACGTGGTCTGTGTTAAACTCGTAGACAGGGATGAACTGTGGGTGACCAGGGTTCTTTGTACACCCAGTGTAAGAGGTAAGGGGGCCGCCGGCTTCTGCACACTGCTCTTCCACCTCGTGGGTTCCTGTTGTAGCAGAGAGAGAGGGAGAGAGTGTGGTGGGGGGAAGAAGGGGAGGAAAGAGGGATAGGGAGAGAGAGAGAGTCAGAGAGATAGTGAGAGAGGGGGAGGGAGGGAGAGAGAGAGGGAGAGAGGGGGGTAG